AAAGTCTTACTATATCACCCAGGCTATAGTACTGTGGCACAATCATAACTCACAGCAGCAGCAGCCTTCACCTTCTGGGTTCAAGAATAGCTGGGACTACAGGCATTAGTCACTTCACTTGGCTAGTTTTTTTACTATGTTACCCAGACTGATTTTGAAACAGTCCTCCTGCCTTGGTCTCCCAAAGTACTGGGATTACAGGTGTGAGAAGAAACAGTGAAAGAACAAACCAATATAAAACAGTTTAAACAACCTCACTCATCCCATTTCACTGACTACTAATTAGATGAAAGAAAGGTGGCCACATCTGCATGGTCTGTGCATCCCACAGTCTGAGCCTGCCTGCCTGGAGGGCTGTTAACCTACATAGACATCATTTAAGGGTTGGTTGCCAAGGCTGGGGAAGCTGACCTGGTCATTCTTTCTCCTAGGCCTATTGTCCATGGCCAACTCTGGCCCAAACACCAATGGCTCCCAGTTCTTCCTGACATGTGACAAGACAGATTGGCTGGATGGCAAGCACGTGGTATTTGGCGAGATCACCGAGGGCCTGGATGTCTTGCGGCAGATTGAGGTATGTGGTGGGGAACGGGCCTCTTCCTCACCTGGGTTCATGGTGCACAGCTTGGGGGAGGGCTGGAGAGGGAGCTCTGTGCTGTGAGAGACATGGGCCAGGGCTGCTTCCGCCCAGGTTCCAGGGTGGGGGTGGGTGTCCCTAAGCCACTCTTTATTCTTACCCCCCATTCCCCTGGCTTCTATTCCGCCTACAAAGGCCCAGGGCAGCAAGGACGGGAAGCCAAAGCAGAAGGTGATCATCGCTGACTGTGGGGAGTATGTGTGAGAGGCGCTTCCTGTGCTCCCCTCTGTCTGCTCTCACCCCTGTGGATCCAGAAGGGATCTCCCAGCCTCAGCTGTTTGGAGCAGGCAGCGTTTCTGGTATGACCCCTTCCTCTGGGTCAGCTTGGAGCAGCTCCTCTGTGGGCATAGCCTGGACTTTTCCCAAGTGTGGCTGTGGCCCCAGAGCCAGCATAGGGGTCACCCTCCCACCATGGGCAGGCTGTGCACGGACACTGACTCTTCCTGGCATTTGCTGCTGGGTCTCTCTTGGGCTCTTGAACATTTTCTTTGCTAAAATAAATCCTAGTTCTTGTATTGCCACCTCCAGCTAATTCCTGGGAGCTGTCACAGATTGTCTCTGTGTCTAAGCTGTCCCCCTGGGGCAGGCTGGCAAGTTAGAAGAGCACAGTCCCTTCCCCATAGCTTTTTTTTTTTTTTTGAGACAGAGTCTTAAGCTGTCGCCCTAGGTAGAGTGGCGTGGCACCACAGCCCACAGCAACCTCAGGCTGTTGGGTCCAAGCGATTTTCTTGCCTCAGCCTCCCAAGCAGCTGGGACTACTGGTGCCTGCCACAACGCCCAGCCATTTTTTGGTTGTAGTTGTCACTGTTGTTTGGCAGGCCCAGGCCGGATTTGAACCCGCCAGCTCTGGCGTACATGGCGCCCTAGGCACAGAGCCTCTTCCCCATAGCTTTTATTTCCTCCATGGGCCAGTCCTCTTCGATGCCAAATGATTCATCTTCACACAGATGTCCTTGTCAGACCATGTCAGGTCAATGGAAATCAAAGATAGTGGGAAAGTCCCGTCTTCCCCTGCCTCATCTGCCAGTCTTACAGCCAGCAGGTCTGCTGATCAGTGATTCAGTCATTTATTTGTTCACCTTCATTCTATAGATTTTTCAAATTGATATTCTATAATTCAAATTACTTTCTCTGTATCAGATAATATGCTTATTTGTCAGGAGACAGAAGGTCAACAAACTAAGTGGACCTGATGTAGCCCATAGCCTGTTTTTGGAAATAGAGTTTTATTGGAACACAGCCACATCCATCTGTTTACATATTTTCTATGGCTGGTTTCTCACCACAGCAACAGAGTTGAGTAGTTGGCAACAAATGCTGCCTAATCCCTGTATTAGTCAGAGTCCTGCATAGAAATAGAACCAATAGGATGACAGATATATTTTAAGGAATTAGCTTATGTAGTTGTGGGGGCTGGCAAGTCTGAAATCTGCATGGCTAACCAGCAGACTGGAGACTTGTAGTTCAAGTCCAAAGGCAGTTTGGATATAGCATTTCTTCTCTGGTACCTCAGCCTTTTTCTCTCTTAAGGCTTTCAATCTTCATTATAGAGGGTAATCTTCCAATCTGCTATATTTATTCTACTAACTCAAATATGAGTCCATCTAAAAAAAACCTTCATAGCAACATCTAGACCAACGTCTGCCCCAAAATTGGGTACCATGGCCTAGCTAGGTTGACACATAAAATTAATCATCATAGTCTCAAAGACTGAATGTTTATGTATTTACCGTCTGAGCCTTTATACAAAAAGTTGCTGACCACTGAATATAGCAAGTGGCTCTACCCTCTGCCGAGCTCACAGCCTGGCCTTCCTGCGTGCTCCACTGCTTGGAGCTTGAGCCGGGCTGGCTTCTCCCCTTCTCCTCCAGACGCTGCTCAGCCAGGTGGTGTTAAAGAATCCGTCATCTGCTGAAAGGTCTGAGTAGGGATTGAACGTGGGAGCCCTGCTGTCCCTACTGGATACCTCCCTGTGAGTTGGGTTACTCAGACCATTCAGAATCCACTGGGGTGGGCTTTGACATCTTGAGTAGAGTTCTGAATGGGCAGAAAGGGCCTGCTACCTGTGACCTGATGACCTAGGATAGGGGTGGTGGCATTCTGGCCTTACCTCTGGCTATTGTGTGCCAACTGGATTTTCTGAGCTCTTGCTGCAGTTGGCTGTGTCTGACTGCCCATGGCTGGGATGGACCATGTTCTGCCTGACCTCTATGGAACTCACAAAAGAGACCCTTAAAGCAGAGCCACAGTGCAAACTGCAGCCATCATGGATGAGTCATAAGTGTTAGGGCAGCATTTGTGAAGCAGGGGACGATAGCACTGACTCCAGGACTGGTTCACGAACCAAGAGTCTGTGTCTGAAGAGCTTCCTGTGATGATCACCTCGTCACTTTCTGCTTCTCCCTGATGGCTGGGGAGGTGGAGGCTCAAGCTCAGTAGGTTTGGAGTCATTGGGTGTCCACTCCTCTCCCAGTCCTTTACCCAATGTTCATAGGTATTATCTCATTGAATCACGTTGGAACCCTGCTCAGGTAAGCCAGAGCTCAGGTGGTGGGGTTGCCAGAGGTCACCTAGGGTGGTATGGCAGAGCTGGGATTAGAAGCTTGGCCTGTCTCTCCCCAGTAGTAATGGGATCCTGGGAGGTTTGCTGAGCTCTGGCCTTAATCTGTGGCAGGTGGTGCCCAAGGCCTTGGAGGAAAACACATTAATGGTCGCCATCATTGCCCACAGGGAGACAGAGGGAACAGGTCTTTCTCTGACAGACAGGAGGGGAGAGGAGGGGGCTCCAGAGCCTGAGGAGCAAGCAGTGTGTCCAGCAGTTGCCTTAGGAGGGCTCTGACAGATCTGGAAATTTGACCCAGACGCACTGTGGGACCCTTCACTGCAACCTGGAGGGCAAAGCTGCTTTCCCTACGACAGCTTGGCTCTTATCCCAAGTGACCTCCCAGGCCTATGTTTCTATTGCTTCATTGCTCCAGCACCAGGACTGAGGCTGCAGGACTCCATTTTGCTGATTCATTTCCTCAAATCATTCAGAGTTGAGCCCACCTGTGTGCTGACCTTCTAACAGCTACACAAAGCCAGAGGCCAGGGATGGTGGCCCGGGATCCATGCTTTGACTGCCCAGGTTTCCTCTAACAACCTAACAGGTGCTTCCAGATGCGCTGACATCTGTCATGGTCATGACAGCCTCACAGGAACTCTCTAAGGAAGGAATTATAGGACTATTTAGTGGTGAAAATGGAGTCTTGTAAAGTTCAGGTGATAGGGAACTGAAGTGGAGGAGGCACATCACAAAGCGATTTACAGAACACAATGTGATGGCAGTTTCATGAGCAGATCTATAGGATGTGCACGCGGGGATTCCTGTACGGATCTGAAGAAAAACGCCTAGAAATAAATTCACCAAAATATTAATGTATGTTTATCTGAGTTATATTTGAATTGTATTTTATTTGTTATGTATTCCACTTGCCTCCCAAGCTGCACTATTGTTTTTAAGAAATGAGAAGCATTCTGTAAAAAAGGGGTAAATGTTTGCACAGGTTTTCCTATAAGGGAATTCAAATTGTGCGATTCCTACATTTAAATTGCTGTACAAGGCCCTGATGAGCTCAGACCTCTCAGCAGGGTGTAGGATCCTTGAGTCTGGGAACACAAGAGCCTAGCCACTGCCACAAATGAGACGCTTTACCAGGCCTTCAAAGGCAGTAAGAATACAAGTCCTTCTCCATAGAATATAGGGTATCTTAGGGAGAAGCACAGCTCTGGAATAAATGCACCAACACCTGCAGAACACATTCTGTTTTAATAAGCATAGAAGTGACTCAAAAGCAAATTCATTTGTAATATTATCAACAAGTCCCAATTATTAAGCATTTATATACCAGAGATCTCAAATTATTTGTGTACATATCTAATTTTTATAATAGCTTTTGGAGGAAGGAACCAATATCCTGTTCTATAAAGGAAGAAGCAGAACAAGGATTCTAATCCATTTGGCTTCAAAAATCAGTACTCTTAGTATGCTGCCTATTTTCCCGTTTCTTTGGAATTTTTCCAGAACATGTTTACTTCCCTACCTTCCTTAGAAAGCGGTAAGCATGTAACCCTCTGCTGACTTTGCCTCAAGGGCCAATATTGCACTGCAAGTACCAAGACTGCCGGGCATTTCTCCTTAGCCTATTTTTATATAGGTCATTGCTGTCTATGATCTGAACTGACCACCCTTATTTATCCTAATATAGTGCAACAGATAAACAGGCCATGCCCTAGACCAGTGATTCTTAATCTTCCTAATGCCACAACCCTTTAATACAGTTCCTCATGTTGTGGTGACTCCCAACCATAAAATTATTTTTGTTGCTAATTCATAACTGTAATTTTGCTACTGTTATGAATCGTAATGTAAATATCTGATATGCAGGATGGTCTTAGGCGACCCCTGTGAAAGGGTCATTTGACCCCCAAAGGGGTCATGACCCGTAGATTGGGAACTGCTGCCCTAGACAAAGAAAAAGGAGATGGTGGTATCCATGCGGCCAGCCTGGCCTCCCTCCTGCAGCTGTCATGCCTGGCTCAGCAAACACACAATGGAATAAAATGCATGGTCTTTGTGTCCATGCACGACTGTCTCACTGCTCAGGGGAGGGCAGTAGGATTTTCTATTGGATTTTCTTTGCTGATCATCTATCTGGATGGCAAAATTGCTGGAAGTCCAATGGCCAGGTAGGTAGGTAAAGCCTTATGGTTTTTCCATTGTTCTGCATGAGCTGGGAGGATCAGTAAGGTGTGCTGTACACCTGCAGATATTTAGGTGACTTGACAGACGTTCTAGCTGCCCCCTTATCTAGGCCAGACCATTGGCTGAGCACTAAAGAGACCAGGTGAAGTAAAAAATGGCTGTCAAGTAGTTCACTTATTTAAAATTTACAATTGTCTAAAAGATGGTCCTTGCTGTTGAGAAGAATCATTAGGTAAGTACTAGAATGGCAAATTGGTTCTATGTTACATGCCAACTCTGCTTCGGGACCGTCATTTGAGTTCCATTCAGGGTTGTGAAGGTGCTCTGAGCTCCATGTGAGGAGGTGCCGATAAACGGAGACGGATTCCCTGGCTGAAGGCCCTTTGGAAATCAGTAAGTCCAATTCCCTCATGTTACAGATCAATGGTTCTCAACCTTCCTGATGCCATGATGTATTTTCATTGTTACAAAAGGGTTGCGACCCACAGGTTGAGAACCGCTGTTGTAGATGGAAAACTGAGGCCCAGAGAAGGAAGCTAACCTGTTAAGTCAGGACTCCCTATATCCAAGCAAGCTGAGATCTCTGCGCTGATGAAACTAACACCTTCCCAATAGCCTGAGCCCAGCCTCATATGCATCCAAGGGTGTCTTCCTCTGTGCTCCCACATGGAGGCCCTCCCTGGTTCAGATGGAGGGGCTGTTGTCCTGCAACAGGGCCCAGACTCCAGCCCTCTGGCCAACCCTGCCCTCCTTCAGGCCCAGCATGTCGTTGGG